GGATTCTGAAGATACGCTTGGCTAGCACAAGACACGGGGAAGGGCGGCCAGGCAGGGCTGCACCCGAGAGGCCAAGCGTCCTCTGGAAGGCGAGCGCAAAGCCGCGGCAGGACACGGCCCTCTCCACACTCCTGGGAATGAGGCCTATTTGCCTGTCTAGGCTCTCCGGTTCCACCCAGGGATCCAGCTCAGCGCTCCGTATTCCTCCCCCCCAGCTGCCTGACGGCTCGGCGCCGCACCGGCCGACTGGCCAGAGAAGCAGCACAAGACACAGGGGTGTCCGGCTTTGCTGTCTGGGCCCCGGGCGCTCGCGTCCCCATGCCCGTGGGGCAGAGCGTCCTGCTTTTTCAGCACTGCCACCCCGCAGGCCCGACAGCCAGGTCTCCGATTCCAACCCACCCACCACCAGAGCTCTGGCCTTTCCGTGAACTTCAGGGGTGGGGTTGGGCAGCCGGTGCAGCCCCTTCACCCTGCAGCCAGCCCTCCCCAGGAAGGGGTGCTCCAAGAGCCGGCTCTCTTGAGCCAGGAGTGGCGACATCCGGCTTGGAAGAGCCCCTCCCGCCGCAAACAGCTAAGCCACGGCTTTGCTACTGACCAGTGACATTCCCTGGACGTGGTTGCCCTGCTGACTCTGGGAGGGGCCGGCGCGGCGGGGAGAGGCCGGTCTTTGTCCTCCTCGGCTGCCGGCCTCCTGGCGAGTGTGGCGTTCCCCCCGGCCTCTGCAAGGCAAAGCGTCCGGGCTGGTCAAGCCCTCCCGCCCCCTGGCGCAGGAGACAGAGGTCGGACTGGTGACGTGAACCCGAAGGCACCGCTAGGTCTGCCCTCGTGTGGTAGAGCTCCTCAGGTCCGGCGGTCTCCTCGTTACAGCGAGGCACTGAGTCGAGCTGGGCCCAAACGCACCCCCGACCGGGCTCTAGACCCCAGGTGGCAGCGTGGGCTCCTGGCATGTTAGCGGAAGGGAGATTCCCTGGCGCGGCGTTCATCTCAGTCGGCCACAGCACGGGAAGGATGGACAAGGACAGTAATATGGCCTTCAGTGAAATCTCCACTCGAGGGCCCCTCCTGTACACGCCCCTTGGCCTGTGGGCTTGTTCCACTGCGGAGGCAGCGGCTGACTGGGGAGGTGCCTTCGGCTGAGGGCCTCTGCGCCAGACGGACACGTTTAGGAGACTGGCGTCTGTTACGCAAGGTCTGGTTTGTACAATGGCGAAAGCATCCAGACGTCCTCCTACAGGCTGAACCTCCCAGAGCCCGGACTCAGCCCAGGGCCCGAGGCGCTGCTGGACCAAGGAGCCCCAGAGGCCGGGAGCCAGAGCCAGATGGGAGAACATGGCGGGGGGGAGCTCCGGCCGGACCAACAGCAGCCGGACCAGCAGCGGATGGGGAACCCCAGCTCGGGAACCCGGTGTCAGCGGGGCCAAGCGGAGGCTGTGGAAAAGTGGGGAGCATTACCGTGGCAACGCCCTTCCCCCAGTCCACAAGCACCAGATCTGAACCCTTCTGCTCACCGATGGCCCAGGGGTGGGGGCGTTATCTGAGTTCGTAGCCTCGCCTCAATCAGCTACTGGCCGGGCGGGGGGGTTCATACGCAGCTCCCACCGAGCCCTGAGCGCCACGCAAGAGGGGCCCCCGGCGCGGTTAGCAGGGGCTGCAGGCCCAGCGCCACGCTGGCTGGGACGTGCCGCGGCAAATTGGCGCTGCCAAGGCTGAGCAGCGCGGCACCATGGGAAGGAAATTAAGGCAGAGCAGAACTTTGTAACTCCCCTCCTCTGGGCCCCCGCGCGCTGGTAAAATGCCTCCCCCGAGCCCGCAGGTCCATGCCACGTGCTTCAGACAAAGGGGAAACTATTCTCCTCTGGCATGCGCAGCCAGACCTCTCCCCAAGCAAGGCTCGGGGGAGTCTGCTGCACAGCAGGGGGAGAGGGGAGCATGGGACAGGACAAGGGAGGATCATGGAGTTTTACTCCAGATCCATGAACTGTTTTTCCTTGAGTGAGTGAATTTAATCCTGAGGCCCAATGCCAAACACTGGGTAGTGCAGCAGGAGTTTTTCTGAAGCTACACGGTCCAAGGGGCTGAGCTCTGGGATGGAAGTTCTACTCCTAGCTCAACCGTGGACTTGGGGTGTGGCCCTCAGACGTTGCTCAGGGGCTCTGCCTCAGTTTTTCTACCTGTAAAATGGGAACAATGATTTGTCACTGCAAAGCAGGTAACAGCCGTAAGAATTTCACCCGCCCCTCAGGCTGATGTTGTGTATTTATCCGCCGTCTAGGCAGTGGCAGCTCCCTGGTTTTGTTCGCATTAGTGTTTGAACTCTGGCGTAAAGCAGGAACGAGTCATGGACCCAGCCCCTGCATGGCGGATGGGTCGTGACCTGCATCACAGCCTTGTGCATGCCCACAGGTAGCTTAGCTCCTGGCCACTCACCACGGCATCCTCATTCCACTAGACTGGACCCAACCCAGCTATGGTGAACCCCCACCCACGCCCGAGAAGGCACCCTAGGGAGACGGCCGGCCACATGGGCACACATGGACACAGCACACAACATTCTCTCACAGCGGATAAAAACGGAAATCGGAGATACCCAAAGGTCTGGGCAGGGCACCACATTACCCTTTTTAACTGCCTTGCTGCTACGCCCAGCTGCCGTGGCGTTCTGGCCGGGCCCAGCCGACTGCTCCCCCAGACCCCCTGCAATGAAGAGAGAGAGAGAGAGAGAGAGAGAGAGAGAGAGAGAGAGCCGGGTGTGAGTGTGCAGGGACAGCAGACGACCACGCCCGGAATTGCAGGCAATCCCTGGAAGGGGAGCTGCTCTCCTCCCAGCTCAGGGGAGGCTGGATGGCTCATGAGAACGCGGTTCTGCTCCCAGCTCTGCCATGAGCCTGGTCTGTGGCTATGGGCAAGTGACATTGCCTCTCTGCACCCCAGTTTGTAATGAGACGATGTCCCTCGGCAGCGTGATGCGACGGGGAAGTGTGGGGGGGGGTCTAGGTTGGAAATTAGGAAAAACGATTTCCCTAGGAGGGTGGGGAAGCGCTGGGATGGGTTCCCTGGGGAGAGGGTGGAATCTGGGGAGAGGGTGTTTAAGTCTCGGCTTGACAAAGCCCTGGCTGGGTTGATTTAGTTGGGATTGGTCCTGCCTTGATGCCTCCTGAGTTCTCTGCCGGTCCTGGGAGTCCATGATCACGCTCGGTCAGAGCCAGGCATGCTGCAGGGTGGGGATTAAATACGGAAATTAAAAGCCCTAACCGGATAAGGAAGTAAGGCCCTTCCTCCGGCTCACTGGCTACGTCTAGACTGGCATGATTTTCCGCAAATGATTTTAACGGAAAAGTTTTCCATTAAAAGCATTTGCGGAAAAGAGCGTCTAGATTGGCACGGACACTTTTCCACAAAAGCACTTTTTGCACAAAAGCGTCCGTGGCCAATCTAGATGCGCTTTTCCGCAAAAAAGGCCCGGGCGCCATTTTCGTGATCAGGGCTTTTTTGCGCAAAACAAATCTGAGCTGTCTACACTGGCCCTTGTGCGCAAAAGCTTTGTGCAAAAGGGACTTTTGCCCGAACGGGAGCAGCATCATATTTCCGCAGGAAGCACTGATTTCAGACAGTAGGAAGTCAGTGCTTTTGCGGAAATTCAAGCGGCCAGTATAGACAGCTGGCAAGTTTTTCCGGAAAAGCAGCTGATTTTGCAGAAAAACTTGCCAGTCTAGACACAGCCACTGAGTTAATTCATTTCCTCCTGGGATGGGCCTAATTCCCCGCCTACTTCTGCACACTCGGAAGTCCAGCGAGGTTCCACAGCCGGAGGAGGTGTCCCTTATATCAGACACCGAAATGACACTGGGCAGTTTTGCTGGGAGCGTTTCCTGGCCTTCCCACCCCAGCTTAACCTTGTTGCGCCTGGCCTCCGGATGTGGCGGGGGGTGGAAGTGCGAAAGTGGCCCACAAAACGGGCATTGTGGGGCGACCGTCTTCTGAGTCCAGTGTCTCCAGAAAGAAACTGCTCCCGGAAGTGAAAACCGGCCCTGCCAGCTCACCCGCTTGGCTCCCGGGGCACCTGACACCGTTCCCAGCCCCTGCCATTCAGGCTCCAGATTGTGTCCAGAGTGACACCTGTGCAGCCCCATGTGCCCAGACCAGGTGCCCAGGGACACTCGGGGGGCACTGGGTTAGAAACAAGTCGGCCGAGAATCCAACTCCTGCTTCTGCCAGGCTGCGCCTTCTGCAGGGCTAAGGGCTGTCAAAACGCACCCTCAGAGCATCATTTGGAATACCCCAGGCAGGGACTCTGTTGCAAAGGGGCCATTTTGACATAAGCAATGTTCAGACCTCCCCGTACTTATCCCCCAAGTGGTGAACGACACTGAATAGGTCTGCTCACCGCACGTCACCCGCCTCTCGTTCCCATCCGAACTTGAGCCAACGCTATTAGTCTCTCCTCCCGAGGAAAAGAAAATGCCAGGGATAACGGGGTGAGATGATCTTTGGACCCCGAACAAGGGGTATGGAGCGAGATAAAGACAGGGAGGAAGGGGACATGTTCCCAAGGCGAAGTTTGGGAAATGTTCTATTTGTTGTACAGGTTGAGTCCAGAACTCTGGTCCAGAAAAATCTGTCGCCAGGAATGATTTGAGTTAGCTGGATGTCCGCTTCTCATGGGTGTAACATTTGTTTACAGCCCCCAGGCCTGGCTCTCAGTGTGCTGTCCTGTGCTGTAGCTCGAATTTACCCCGAAACGTCTTCTAACGACCCAGCAAGCAGGGGAAGTGTTGGTGAAGCTGCCAGACAGCACTGACCTCCTATAGTCCGGCAAATTCTCTGGTTCGGAACCAGTCAGGTCGCCAGGCTGCCGGACTAGAGAGGTTCAACCTATACACAAGCGAGGTGTAAAAGAGACACAGCTTGAGGCCATACTTTGGAAATGAAGATTCCCAATTTCCGGAGAGGAGCTGTGCGGCTGTGGGTAGCATACGAACCTATCTGTCTATGCTGATTTCTCTGTTTGATCAGCAGATTGTGCTGGGTTCTGAGCTGACTTACATCTCACATCTTATCCGTACAGGCTGGCGGACATAACCACGGCCCACTGGGCTCAGGCTGCTCCTAGCAGCGTGAGAATTTCTCTGGCCGCTGGGGCTGGAATTTCTTCCCCAAGCCAGTGTGATTTGGAGGTGGTAGGGACGGGTCTGTTAGCGTGAGCCCAGCCGGGCCCCCATTTGCCTTCTCCCCAAGGCTGCAATAGCTGAATTCACCCAGAGAGGACAAAGGGTCTGGCTAGAAATGGGGACAAAAGGGGGATGCTGACTATCAGGAAAAGCAAAACGGCGGGGAATTGTCTCCTCAGAAAAGTGGCGGAAGCTCCATTGTTTGGGCCGCTTACGAACCATCTGGACCACAGCCACGGCACGTGGGAGCTAGCGTACGCCTGGCCTGGCAAGGTGGGCTGCTTGGGAGCCAACCACTCACTTCCAGCTGCGATGGCCAATTCGAAAATTTCCCGTCGTTCCATTTCATCTTGCTACTTACGACATCCACTCGGATCGTCTCAACACAACTCCTCTCCCTGGCCGAATCTGACATCCTTGGGATTTCTCCCCAAACATAAGAACAGCCGTACTGGGGCCAACCAGCCCAGTGTCCTGTCGGCCAACAGTGGCCAATGCCAGATGCCCGAGGGAGTGAACAGAACAGGGAACCATCCAGTGATCCCTCCCGTCATGCATTCCCAGACAAACAGAGGCTAGGGACACTATTCCTACCCATCCTGATGAACAGCCATTGATGGACCTAACCTCCGTGAACGAATCTAGCTCTTTTTTGAACCCTGTTCTAGTCCTGGTCTTCAAAACCTCCTCTGGCGAGGAGTTCCACAAGTTGTTTGAGTGCTATGTGAAGACATACACCCTTTTATTTGTTCTAAAGCTGCCGCCAATTAATTTCATTTGGTGTCCCCTAGTTTGTGCGATTACTTTGGTCACACCATTCATGATTGTATAGACCTCTATCATAGCCCGTCTTAGCTATCTCTTTTCCAAACTGAGAAGTTCCAGTCTTATTAATCTCCCCTCAGACAGAAGCCTTTCCATGCCCCTAATCGTGCTATTCATTCCAGAGCATCAGTCATATTTAAAGGATGGCGTTCACACGTCAATGCGGCACTCTTCTGGTGATCTTTGCTGGAGTGGAAGATAAATTTGTATTTATAAATAAGCAGCAGCTTGCTGGCCGAGGCAGGGACAGATTGCTTCTTAATTGAATTTGGGAGGTGAATTATATGGTGAATTAGAACAGAAGAACAACTCTGCACTTAGGGAATTGTTCCCGGAGAAGGGGGCAGTGTGGGATTGAATTGCAAATGATGGTACTGCGCATTACAGCCGGCACTTCCTCCATCCCAGGCTGCTGACCTCTGCCGTGTTTCAGCCGGCACTGGAAACAAGTGTTTTTTCAGAGCTGCCTTTGCTTTCTTTCCCCCAAGCCCAGAGTAAGCGCCTTTGCTTCTTGTGCAAAAGAAAGGTTTGAATAAACAGCTGAGCCTAATGAAATTGACAAGAGCTTTGCCTATTTCCTCTCCTTGTCGCCAGGGAAAAGAGGGGGTGTTTACGCAAAGACTAAAGCGGGTTGCGGTGATACACCCGACATTTTCAAACATTATTCATTTTGCCACCACCGCGCTGGAATAGCATATCCCTGCCCGGACAGACAGATGGCTGTAGTGGAAGATCACATCTGAAGATTTGGGGAGTTTTGAAGCCCTGCCAACCAACTTGGTGTCAAAACACCTTCCTGGGATTCACTAAGCAACGTGACTGAGCTGGACGGAGAAAGGACCTCATATGCCTTCTCCCCCGCGTGCGATAAAACGTGATTTTGGAGGGAGACTGATAGGTAAATGAAGGGGGTTTATGAGTGACAGTGAGGGTTAAGAAACGCGCCTTTCATTTGGCATTGAAAGTGTAATGGGTCGAGGTGATTCTTGGTTCCAGTAGCAGATTGTTCCACAGTCTCTCTTGCCAGCCACTGAGGAGGTAAAAGGGGTTTTACTTTAGTGATAGATTCTCCCATCTGGGCCAGAGGACACAGGAAGGGATCACATATAGATTTTGACCCCATCTAATTAAGAACGCTGAAGAGGAGAATGGAGCTCTCGCTGAAGAAGGGCACGGAGTGGGGAGACAGATATAGGCCCCAAGGGAGCGGTAGGAGGACAAGACGACCCCTCCACACGCGCACACGTATTACCACCATCACTCCTTGTGTCCCTCTTCCTTTTGCGGGAGCCTTGAGTAACCCACCAGCCTCCCCTTCCCCACAGGAGTACGGACGGTCCTCCCAAAACAGGCCCCAACAAGCCAGTCAGGGGGTTCACAAGCTCCTCTCCTGGGCTGAGAAGTCAACCCAAAGGCGTAACCATGACTTCACCGAGACAGCCCGCTGGGAGTGGATTTGCTGCTCACAGCATCCAAGATGGCCTCTGGCTAGTTCCCGCCTACAGCAGCTATGGAGCTGAAGGCCCTTTATTGGTCCAGGTGCCGCCTAGGTGCACGTAACTAGAGCCCAGCTGTCCGGCGACTCCTCTGTCTGTTGCCCAGGGAGACGTGATGCTCAGACGGCGTCACCACGAATACAACCAGGCGCCCACTTTCCGAGCCCAAGAAGGCGAGACGCCAGGGACCTCCAGGATCGATCCC